TCATCCATGGAGATGGACACTTTTGAGAAAGGATTCCTGCACAAGAAAGCTCATGTAGTTGACCACTTCTAACGTGAAGTTCATTCCCAGGTTGAGGTCTGTGAGCGGGCATGCTTACTTGCTGCTCTTTGTCCTACTGGAATTGTAGGGACCTCTACCAACGTCTTCCTTCCATCTCTCCTGCCATGTCTTTAAGGTCAAGTTATTCTTTGGGAGTATAGATGGTATCTCAGGTGACTGTACAGAAGAGGTTGGTCTTCCACAGGGCTCCACCATCCCTACACCCTGCCCCTTTCTTCTTGGGTGATGAGTCATCTCTTCCTGTTGGCACTGAGTGTGTGTCACCAGTTCTTGGTTCATTTGCAGCCCAGCTTGGTCATGGGCTTTGCAAATGGTGGATGGCTGTATCCTCTGGATGGGTTGTTTCTCCTTGAGTGTTTCACCCAGCTTGCAGTAACCTTCCCTCTTTCCAGGATCTGGGAAGATGGGGTTTCTGCTTGCCAATCCTAAGGATCATGTTTGATGCCTCACTGGGTCTCAGGTGTTGACTCTCTAACTTCATTAATTAGAACTCAGGTTTGCAGGGGATCTGGCTTCCCCCTGCTATATATTCCTAGCCTGGAATTACTGAATAACACAACAACAAAAAATTTAGTCTGTCCTGGACTCCAGCTTTACTGTCCATAGCGGTTCTGAGCTTGTGGGCTCTTTTTATTCAATTTCTCTGGACAAATCTCTCCTTTACCTGGGTTCTTGGGGCCCTCTGAGATTCTCTGCCTCCAATATCCACTCTTGTCCTCTTTCCTGAGGGTCTAGCCTTTGTTCCCTGGGGTACTCTTTTCCCAGTGTCCCTGTCTCCCTATCCAGTAGGGCCACCTGTAAGCACTCCGCCATCTGGTTTCACTTATCTGAATAGTTGACTGGGTTGGCTCCTCTCTTGGGGTTGTAGTCTGCCTGGCATCCCTTAAGGGTTCAGCTGACTGGTTCCTGGCTGTGTCAGGGTCCTTCTCCCAATCCTGCTGCAATGTCTCCTCCTCCTTCC